TGGGGATGTGGTGACGAGCCCTGGGCTTGGAATAAGGGGCCCCAGGTCAAGCCCACTCTCACTTCCCAGTTGTGTGACCTAGGGCAAGTGATTTCATCTCTTGGAATCTCAGCTTTTCTATAAAATGGAAACATCGACAAGGAAACATTTTCAAACATATACAAGAAAGCATTGCACTGAAGGCCCATGTACCATCTTCAACATTATCATCTTGTTTTATTTGTATCCCCACCCACCTACCCCCATCCCCACTGGAATATTCTAAAATAAATCCCAGACATGCCCTTTGTTTCCATAAAGAATTCAGTATTAAACTGCTTTTTACATTTTTCTCAATTACAAAATAATACACGATGACTGTAGAAAACTTGGAAAATGAAGAAATAATATACAAAGGAGAGAACAAAAATCACCCATAACTGCGCCACCCAGAGGTAACATTTTCGAGTAGTCCATTAATTTACTCTATGCACATATATATGTGTATATATATATATATATACACACACATCATATGTATACATTTTTAACAAATGTGGGACCCTACTGTAGATACCATTTGTAGGTGTCACTTGATTTAAACTATAAGCGTAATAAAATCATATTACAGAAAAGTCAAGAAAAGATGGAAATTACCCATAATCCTTTACCACCAATATAAAACCTGTTAATACTTTAATATATTTCCTCCCCATTTTTTTCAACTAACACACATACTTTTAGCACAAGTGGGATTGCACTGATTATGCACTTTTCAAATTATGAATCTGTTTTAATTGCGAGAAAATAACATAGTATTGCAGAAAATTTTTAAAAAGGAAAAAGAACAATATCACCCATAATTCCATTACTCAATTACAATCACAGTTAACATTTTGGTGTATTTACTTCCAATTTTTTTGTGCACATATAATTTTAACAAAAGTGGGGGCATACAATGTGTGCAGTTCATTAACTACAAATTTATATTTAATTATAAGAAAAATATCACCATGTTGCATAACATGGAAAAAAGAGGGGAAAAAAATCACTCATAATCCTACCACCCTACTGACCCTGTTGTTGGTTTGGTGTTTTCCTGCCCATTGCTTCATTACCCATATTCATACGTGGTTGGAAACATAGTATTTAATTTTCTATTCTTTGTGCTGGTTGCAACTGGGCATCATATTTATGCAACTTTGTACCCAGTATTTTTTTTACTTTTTTGTTATGAACATTTTCCCATGAATAAAAGAGCTTTGGAAATCAGGATTGTGTGTGTGTGTGCGTGTGTGTGTGCGTGCGCGCGGGTGTGACGGTACCAAGGTACGTCTTTACCGTGGACGTTTAGATTGCTTTTTATTTTTCACTATTATAAATAATTCTGCTCCAAACATTCTTTTTTTTAAGATTTTATTTTTTCATTTGAGACACAGAGATACAGAGAGAGAGAGAGAGAAAGCATGAACAGGGAGAAAGGCAGAGGGAGAGGGAGAAGCAGGCTCCTCGCTGAGCCAGGAGCCCGATGCAGGGCTCGATTCCAGGACCCTGGGATCATGACCGGAGCCGAAGGCAGACGCTTAACTTACATCTGAGCCACCCAGGTGCCCCTGCTCCAAACATTCTTGAACAAAGACGTGCTTTTTAAATTTTCTACACGCATATTGAGTATCTGTTGCTGGAGACCACTGTGTCTGTTTTTGCCGGCTGTCCTGTAAAAAGTGGTCTTCTCTTGGTCCCTAATTTATTCCTGTCATATAGCTCAGACAGCCCTTTGGTTCTGGAGGATGGGATTTTTAGAACAAATCTGCATTTTCCTCTCCCAACCCTTCCTGAGTTTATAGACCTCCTTCATCCCCTCAGCCTGGCTTTTCAGTTAATCAGTCCGTAATATCGAACCTGAAGTGTATGAACTGAGACAGGGCTAAGAGGCAACAGGAAAAGAGTGAGAAGGCACAACAGCAGCCTTTGTTGACTGCTAACTACCCAGCAGGCACCAACCAGGCTAAGCTTTTCCCCGGATCCTTGCAACAAACCCGCAGAGCCGCTACCATTATTATCCCCATTTAACAGCCCGGAAAACTGAGGCCCAAAGAGTGAAGCCACTTGGCCCGAGCTCATAGAGCTAGTAAATGGCAGTGGAGGAATTTAAACCCATGTGGACTGACCCCTGAACGTGTCTTCGTGACAGCCAGTCTAGCCCGCAACCTTATCCTCCCAGGGGTGAGGCATAAGGGTGGGAGTAAGGACTCTGCAGTCAGCCTGACCCAGATTCGAACACCCCGCCTCCCGGTTCCGTGAACTTGGGCAAATCTCTGGGACTCCCGTTTCACCTTGGGTAAACCCTACCTCGCAGGGCTGTCATGGGAATTAAGTGAGATGATGGATGGGAACATGCTAGGCCCAACGCGGGCACACAGAAGGTTCTTGCTGGGTAACCACCCTTGTCCTCTCCTTGCCTCCCGAGCTCGCGGATCCAGTTGCCAAGTTGGGGATAAAGAGTTCAGCGGAGAGCTCGGAGCTAGGCTGGAGCCGACTGGCAAGTCTGTGATCCGGGGCAAATTTGCAGATAGATGCAAATGTCTCTTTTGCTCTCTCCCTGCCTCTGCAACTAACCTCCTCTCCCATCTCCCCCAAAAGGAAAGGGGTGGCTTTTGTGCTCCACAACCGAGTGCTTGAAGCCCCTCTCTTCCCCCGCTCCCCAGGAGGTGGACAGCGGAGATGACAGGAAGTCACCAGTGGGGAGACCCTCTCCGGCCTGTGGCCACAGAGAATTGTGGCGGAGGGCGCTCCTTTTTCTGCCCTTCAATGGTCCGGATGGGGGAGGGGGCTGGCTGTTGAGCAACTGCTCCGGAGACACTCCAGAAGCCGAGATGAACATATGCCTCTTTCTAACAATTGGCCTGGGAGCCATCCAATAGATGGAGGGCGGATCCGACACCTCCCGGATCCGGAGCCTGCAGCGGGGCTGCCGCCGCTGTTTCCAGACCCGCTGCCGAGAGGGGGCGGAGGGGGAGGGTAGGTCGGAGGTCCAAATTGGCAACACACAATTCGAAAGCCTAAGGGTCGCTCACCTCAGGCCAACACCAAGATGGCTTGAGGGTGTATTTCACAGGCAAACTCTGTAGGGTTTTAGGGTTCCGACAGATCCCGCCTTTTATCAGAGGCAAACTGGGCACGATCCACGATCTCTGGGCAAAGTGAGAAATGGTTTGGGGCGGGGGGGGGTGTAAGTGGTTGTTACTGGGGTTTGTGTCGAGGCAAGGTGAGGGGAAGGAATGGGGCCGCGCAAGGCAGCTTTTGGGGCCGGGGAAGGGGCTTAGCTGGCGACCAGAGCACGCCCTGAGCTTCCTCCAGGTGTTAAGGAAGGGCCTTGATCCGTCGCTCCGTTTGCTCCCCATCTTTATGTCAGTAAGCCGGTTAGTCCGTCAACAAACAGAACTTTGTTCAAAGAGCAAACGCAGGGCGCTCAGGGAAAAGGGGGTGGGGGAGGAGAGGAAGGAAGGAAGGAAGAAAAAAAAATGAAGGAAGAAAAAAAAGAAAAGACCTTTAGGTCTTCAAATCCAATTAAGAAGACAGAACACATACATAGTGAAAATGACTTCATGACATTCCCTCACCTCTTTTTTCTTAACATCAGGACTTCAGAAAAAAAAAAAAAGAGCTTGTTCTATAAACAGTGTAAAATGAGTAGTTGCTGAAAGGGGCCAAAAAAGGGAGTTTGGTAGAGGGATAATCCTGGTGGCCTTCCTGTAAGAAGAGGTGAGACGGGAGCTTGTTGGCCACAAGGAACGCGAACTAAGACGGAGAGGAGGTGGACCTCTTTTCCTTAAACATCTGTAAGACAGTATCCCAACCTGAGAAATATGCTCCAAAAGCAAAATGTTATTCCTGCTAGATGGGAATGATTATATAATCGTAATAACATAACCTGGCATCATGGGAAGGCAGAAGGAATCCCCTTCGGGCTCCGGGGCAAGCTCTTCGGACCCGGCTGCCGGTTCTTGGCTTTTCGGCGTGCCTCCTGAGCTGCACCTGGCCCCACGGTCCCGGTGGGCAGCATACCACCGCGTCGCATCCCGCCAGCCTCCTCCTGCCTGGGGTGACCACAAGAGTGAATCCCTCCAACCCAACCCCCGCTCGGGCCTTCGAGGGAAGCCGCCGCTGCCGGATAGGCCCTCCATGAGGCTCTGCCCGGAATCCGGGGACTTTAAGGGGGAAAGGGACTCCCAGCCTCAGCCCTTCAACAAGATGGTGCGGCCCAAAGGGGGGCAAACAGGCTCCGAGGAAGCCCCGCAGAAAACTCCAATCATGCCCCGCCGGCACCAGTCCCGTCCCGAGTGCGTCCCTCTCCCCCGGGCCATTCCCGGAGCCCCTCTGGCTCTCTCCGCGCCGCCCTCCCCCGCCCCCGTCCCCCGTCCCCCGTCCCCAGCCCCCTGAAGCCCGCTCTGGCCACCCCGCAAGATTTAGGTCAGAAAACAGACACTAACAGCTCTCTCCCTCGCCTCAGCGAAATTGCTAAGTGGAATTTATTGGGCAAGTCCATGCAGGGCGGTGGGGAGAGACCAGGTCCCGGGCACGGGCCCCCCGCAGCTTTAGAAGCGCAGGCGTCGGCCTGGGGCTCAAGGCTCCGAGTGCCCACGGCCTGGGCCCGCCAGCTCCCCCCACCCCCACCCCGGGAACGGCGGACGGTCCCCGGCGCTGCCGGACCCGCGGGGCCGCTCGGACTCCGTTCCCCAGCCGGCCCTTCGCTTTCACACGATCCGCGGTGACTGCACCAGCTTGAGCGCCTTTAAAGGGCCACACACGCCAGCCGCCGCTATAAAATGTTCCCAGCGGCACAGCTGCAGAAGGGGCACCGCTGAGCTGCCGAGAGGAGGCTCGCTCCGCCCGGCCGCCCGCCCGCAGCCCGCCTGCGAGGGGTCGTTCCCGGCGAGGAGGAAGAGGGCTGAGGAAGGCGCAGCACCCGCTCTGGCCCTCGGTGAGTATCCAGTTCAGATTTTGCCATCAACTCGCCCACGAGCCAGGACATGTGCTAATAACGCCCTAAGCCGGTTATAAAGACGTGGAAATTGGGGGGAGAGGGAAAAAAAAGGGGGGGAAAGGGTCTGTCCTTCCTGGGATTCCTAGCCGAGTCCAGCCTGCTGCCGTGTGCGTGTGCGTCAGGGCTCTCCCGGCGGCAATGGGGGCTTGAGAACCGCGTCCCCGGCGCCGGGAAGGGAGCGCGGCGGCCGCCACCGCCACCGCCCCGGAGTCAGGCGCCGAAGCTGCGGGCGGGCGGGCGGGCACGGGCGCGGGCCGGGGCTGCTTGGCGCGGCACGGTGCGGTGCGGCGGCGGCGCGGCGCGGCGGTGCGGGCTTTACCCAGGCGCCCCGGGGTCGGGTGGCACCGAGCGCGACCGGCTCGCGGCGGCGGCGGCGGCGTGCGTGCCAGGGGCTGGGGGCTCGGCCGCTTCGCCCGCGGCTCACCGGGCTCCGCGCTTCCCTCTCTCCAGGGCAGGCGGCTTCGCAGAGGTAAGCCGGGCCGCCGGGCAGGGCGCTGGGCTGGTCGGCGGGGCCAGGGACTCCAGCCGAGCGGGTGTGGGGAGCGGGCGGCGGCCGCGCGGGCCGGGGGGCTCTGGGGGACTCTGGGGGACTTGTTTTCTGTTTGAAAGCTGTTCTGCTGGGGGCGGAGGGGCCGCCGCCCGCCCGCCAGCGAGCCGGTTCGCTCGCCAGCGCGCCCGCCTGCCGGCCAGCCGGGCCAGACGCCCGCTTCTCCCCGGGAGACCGCAGCACCTTTTCTCCCCGCGCCCGCGCTTTCTCCAGCTTGGCTTCCACCGACTTTGCTAACCGCCCGGACCGCATCTGGATGCTCCGGCTCCGGGGCTGCACACAGCTCAGGTTTCCTTTGGGGACTGGAGACGAGAGGGGCTCTTGGGGGCCGAGTTCAGCGGAATTGCGGGATGGAAGTTAGCGAATTTGGGCAACTTGCCTCTTCTACCCAGCCGACCTTTCCTCTCCCCCACACGCACGCCCACACACCCACGCACCCACGCACACTCACGCACACACCCCTCTCCCTATAAACGAGGGCCGCGGGGCCCGGCCGCGCACTGAGTCCCTGCCTCGCCGAGCGCCGGACTTGGAGTCGGACCGACCTGGCTGCGAATCCCGGCTCCGCCACTTTCTAGCGCTGTGACCTTGGGCAAGTTACCGAACCTCTCCGAGCCTGTCTCACTCTTCTCTTACCCGGGCTTAATAGCACTGACTACGGGCGGCTTGGCTTAGGGGGTAGGCTCAGCCTGCGGCCGCGTCGAAAAGCTCAGCGGGCGCTCAGTAAGTGTTGGTGAGGCGCGGGAGTGCCGGCGCTGAGTGCGCCCCCGCGCGCGGGGCGACCACGGGGCCCCAAACTCGCGGCCGAGGCCGAGACCCCGCGCCCCTCCCCGCCCGCCCGCCCATCCAGGCTCTACGATCGCTTCCTGATAACGGCACTTGCGGGAGCGGACGCTCGGGGCCCCGGTGGCCTGGGTGCTAGCGCCCACCTTGCAGGGATGCTCCCAGCCGCCCCCAACTCCCGCAGATCCACCTGGGATGCGGCGAGGAGGGCTGCCGAGCTGTCCGCAAACAACGGGCCTTTAGTTTTCAGGTGGCGAAACTGACCGGTCTGGTTAGAGCGCGTCCAAGCCAAGCCGCAGTGCTGTTTGGATTTTTAAATTTCTCCTTCTGAGTGAGAAAATAGCAATCGAGATGGAGCCATCCGGTTGGTGCCATTTTAACTTTGGGTCCCCCAACAGGTCAAAGACGCGGCCCCCTACCTGCCTCTCCCTTCTCTCTTCTTCCTCTCCCCTCCCCACCCCCATCTGGGCGGGAGGGGGCTGCCGGCCCTGGGGAAGATCTGTAGAGAAGGGAGGGCGGCGGGACCGGGGACTGGTGGCAGGGGTCCGCGAGGCACCAGCGGGCGCGGAGGCACTTGTTGCTCCGGGTTGTCCAGCCGCCTCTCGCGGCGGTTGCGCAGGGGTCAGCTCGCAGCTCGGATAGCGGGCTGAGACGTTTCCGCGCTGCCAAGTTTTGCCTTCGAATGGGCTGGGGTGGGGGGGGCAGAGTGGGGACCGAAACTCGGCGAAGCAGGGGCAGGGATTCCGATCGAAATGCTATTGCCGCTTCAGACGGATCCAATAACACTTACTGAGCGCCCACAGAGCCCAGACCCAGGCCGGGGGTCAGGACCGGTGGGGAGGTGGCGGTGATGGGAGGGCCACAGATCCGAATGGAAACAGGGTCCCGCTTAGGGGAGCTCCCAGCCTGAAGGGGGAGACATGGTAAAATGGTCTTCCCCAGGAACTGATAATCAGAACAGAGATACTTTTTTTCTCGTTCTCTTTTTTTTTCTTTCTACTTTTTTTCCTCTCTCTCGCCTCTGTTTCTTTTTGTTATTGTTGTTCCCGCTGTTTTGTTTCTTTTTCTTTTGTACATTCGGGTACCTAGCCGCAGAAGGAAGGGAGGCTGAATAGGAAAGGGAAAAGATGGTCAGCCCCCCACCCCCCCAGACATTTTTGTTTGGACACGGAATTGCTTGATACCAAAGGTGCTGAGCTTTTGAAGATGACATGGATTAGACTCCTAGTCTTGTGATCACTGGCTTGAAATATTCTCCGGTTGCCTCCGAGAAGAAGCAGGGCTTTCCAATCAAGCGGCAGTGGCAAACCCAGAAACTGATTTTCTCGTGTTTTCTCCCCGCCCCCTTCTTCCTTGCTCTGTTTTTCTTGCCTCCCTCCCATCTAAATGGCGATGAGAAAGAGAGGTAGTGAGCGGCCACTTTCTAGACGTGTCTGAACAGATTTCTAATGACCACTGGGAAGAGGGTGGTGTGGAGAATTCAAACATTGCTGGACAGATTAGAGATCCTTTTTAAGGTCCTGAAGGATTTCTGGGCTAAGAGGTATTTATAAATATGAAATTCTACATCTCTAACTCATCATGAAGGCTAGAATATAGGGGGCTTAAAAAAAAAAAAACAAGCTTCCAGGAAAACAACTGGAGATTTTTCAGAGATGTTTAGTTTTCTGGTTTGGGGGTATTCTTTTTCGCCTCATCCCCTTATCCTTTGGCACTTGAGCTGGGGAATCATTTCTCCAGGAGCCGTCTGAATCATTCCCGGTATGATGACTTGGTCAGTGGTCAGGTGAGGCATGTGGATATAAGTAGTGCTAGCCCCCGCTCCCAGAACCAGAGCTACCTGATGGGAAAGCCACTGAAGCTCTGTGCCTCGGTTTCCCTCCAGGAAGAATCTTTGCCACCTGTCATTACAGATGGGTGTGGCTGGCCTCCAAGCAGATATCCTGGGAAAGTCCAGTGATGCCCACGTTGTCTGGGAGGCTTGGAGGTGACTGAGACATTCCCAGCTGCTCTCTCTGGCCGCCTTCATGCCCCGAGACCACCCTGATCGGCCGGGCTTCTCTCGCACCCATGCCGGAGGCAGGGCTCTGGAGCCCCTTGACCTTAGCTTTGGTGACTCATTCCTCTTCCCAAGCTGACGCAGCTAGCCTTCCAGGTCTTCCTTGCCCTCGGTCCTTCCCACTTTCTCCCAATCCCAGTGGAGGCCCCAGGTCCCCAGCCCCCCAGGTGCCTGCCAGTGGTCCACTGAGAAAGTGTGCTCCTTGCTCAGGGACATCCCTGCCCTCAGAATCAGAAACAGTGCACCTCACGCACACACTTGAGGCTCTGAAGTCACTCGCATGAGGAAACAGTCATGTGTGTCCCCTCCTGGGGATGTGGGCAGCACCTGGCTAAATCAAGCACCTTTCCTGCCTCGGGCAAATGTTCTAGCTTGATCTCCTGCCTCTGCTCAGGTGGTTTCTGGTCTTGGGCCTAATGCTGTTACCATCCTTGCCTCGTAGCCGAGTGGAGTTGCCCTGCTTAGGGCTTTGCTAGTGCTCTCTCGGTCAATAAAGCCTTTGTCCTTATTACTTCTTTTCCCTCACATACAGCACGAAAGCTCCAGCTGACGGCATCATCTCCCACCAGTTTATCCAACTTCTGCCAAGGCTCTGAAATGCCAACTATGTCAAGGCCTGCACTTGATGTCAAGGGTGGCACCTCACCTGTGAAGGAGGTAACTTCGCCATCTTGCCGATGGAGACACCGAGAGGCATGGAAAGACGACCTGGTCTGGGCCCTGTGATAGGCCCTCCCAGGCACGGTAGCTAGCGTCCTTTAGCAGAGAGGAGACAGCAGGGCTTTCTCTGGGGAGAAGGAGACTAGCTTCTGCCTAAGTATGGTCAACTCGAGCCCACCGAGGTGTTGAAAGATGGCAGAGAAGGGGAACAGAGGAGCAGAAGCGGCACAAGGCCGCTCCTTTGAAGACATTGCTGTGAGGCTGAGAAGAGAGCCAATGAGGTGCCCTTTTCAGAATGGTGGCGTGAAGGAGGGGCCTGGGGAGAGAGATGAAAGCCACCGACCCACATAGGATGGCGGGCGTCCAGCACTGAGGACTTGGGTCTGAGCTCAGTGCTCGAGACCGTGGTAGCAAAAGGACACTCGAGCTGGGAGCCTAACTTGCTAGGGGGCCTTCTTGCTCTCTCCCCACCACTAGCCCCAGAGGAAGGGCACGTAGGGGCTTCCTGAGCCCGATGAATGGTGATGGACAAAGCAGGAATGGGGGTAGCAAGCTGTGCCTTTCTCTGTCTTGTAGGATGCCAACCCAGAGATGAGCTCGCTGGCCTACTCTAACCTGGGCGTGAAGGATCGCAAAGCAGTGGCCATTCTGCACTACCCCGGGGTGGCCTCGAACGGAGCCAAGGCCAGTGGGGCTCCCACTAGTTCCTCGGGATCTCCATCTCCAATAGGCTCTCCTACCGCCACCCCTCCCACTAAACCCCCACCCTTCAACCTGCACCCTGCCCCTCATCTCCTGGCCAGTATGCAGCTGCAGAAACTTAATAGCCAGTATCATGGGATGGCCGCCGCCGCCGCCGCCGCCACTCCGGGCCAACCTGGGGAGGCAGGGCCCCTACAAAACTGGGGCTTTGGGGCTCAGGCGGGAGGGGCGGGGTCACTCTCTCCTTCTACCGGTGCCCAGAGCCCTGCTATCATTGACTCGGACCCAGTGGATGAGGAGGTGCTGATGTCGCTGGTGGTGGAACTGGGACTGGACCGAGCCAATGAGCTTCCGGAGCTGTGGCTGGGGCAGAATGAGTTTGACTTCACTGCGGACTTTCCATCTGGCTGCTGATGCTCACCGTCCCTAAAGATGGAGGAACAAAGCCACCGATTCTGTTGTAAATAAAAAAATAAAAGTTACTTACAAAGAGATGGGCCAGCTGGAGGTGTTCTTCATTGAGGTCTAAAGGGGTGCGGCACAGTCTGACGTTCCTTCTAGCAATTCTGAGGCCCACGGCGGGGTGGTGGGTGGCTAGCCGGGAGGAAGCTGGATGGGGTGGGGGTGGGGCGCAAAGGGGGCTGCTCACCAAATTCCACCTGCCACTGTCCTTAATCTCTCCAGGGGCCCAAGTACCTGGCCTCACTGCCCTGAGACCCCAGGAATGCTGTCCTAATCAAGGTTGAATACAGGGGCTGGTCGGAGGAGCAGTCTCAGATGAAAGGCTCCTCAGACCCTTCCGCAGCCTCCTTGCCCCGGGCACATCCAAGCCTAAAGCGTTGCCCGGGCCACATGGTACCCGCTGTACAACTCTAAAAGCCACCCTACCCACTCTCTAGGCCTCAGTCTAATCAGCCCATTAAGGCCACTCCTTTGCCCTGTTGCCCATGGGCAAGAGATGAGACCTAAGAAGCATCCTATGACTTGGGAGCTCAGATTTCTCTGGAAAATTGCAAAAGTAGCAGACTCCCATGATGACACTCTGGGATTCTAGGTGCCTTCTTCAAGTCCCCCCGAGAGTTGTTCATCCCTTCCCTCCAAGCCCGGGACACTCAGCTGGCGTGACTCTCCTCCTAACTCTGGGCTTCCTGGCCCATGGGGTATGGAGACAGCCTGTTCCTTGAGGCCGGCTTCTTCCTCTTAGAGATAAAGATTAGGGCTGGGCTTGACAAGTTCAACGTTGAGGAATATAGCCCTTGCTCTTAGGCAGTGGCTTCAGAAGCATGCCGAGTGGGGGCGCCTGGGTGGCTCAGTCCGTTAAGCGTCCGCCCTCGGCTCAGGTCATGATCCCGAGGTCCTGGGATCGAGCCCCATGTCGGGCTCCTTGCTCAACCGGGAGCCTGCTTCTCCCTCTGCCTGCCGCTCCCCCTGCTTGTGCTCTCTCTCTCTCTCTAAGATAAATAAATAAAATCTTAAAAAAAAAAAAAGCATGTCAAGTGACAAGACAGTAGCACCGAATTGGATCCTGGCCTTTGGGGTGCCAGGCCCATCCCCGTGTTGACCCAACCCGAGAGCCTGGAGGCCCCTCTACCCATATTTCAGACTTCTGAAGACATTCTTCCTTGGATATGGTAAAAACGAAACGACTTCTTGGGACTAGTGTCCAGCCTGTCCCCATAGCAAGCGCGTTCAAAGGGCTTCCCACTGGCGGAAGCGGTGCCCTGGGTTCTGCGCTTCCTTAGCACCTGCTCTGGGCCAGGCACTCTGCTGGGCACTGGGAGCATGAATGAGATAAAGCTTCTCCCTTTAAGGGTGTTCCCCATCTAGAAGGAGAGAGGCACCAACAAAAGACCATAAAGCGCAGTATTTGCTATAACACGGGGAAAGTGCTATTTGATCCCAGAAAAGAAAACAGCCCCATCTGCCTGGGAAGGCTGGGGAAGGCTTCCTGGTATTGAACTGCTTCATTTGTTTGTTTTCCTAGCTCACAAGTAATAAATACGTGATACAATCGCCATGTGAAAAGTAGAAACTTCACAGATAAGGCCAAAGTCCCCTTTGACCAACTCTCTCCCTCAATCCTGATCGTCTCTTGCCCTCCAGAGAGGCAGCAGCTGTTTATCTGCGTGTGGTATATCCTCACTGGCCTCACTCTGTGCCTTTACACAAAGACATATCTACCCTTACAAACAATTGGGTTTTAAAACAAGAGCAAGGTCAGCCAGGGAAAGAACGAGTGAGGGAAAAAGCTGTTGCACGGGTTCAGGTCCCCGAAAGGGGCTGCTTAGATGGCTATGAAGTTCAAGGCTGACAGGAGTTTGGGAGGAGACGATGCAGAGGAAGTTTGCAAGAGGCAGAGCGCACGGGGCCTTCTACTCTAGGCGAGGAGTGTGTCTTCATCCTTAGTACCCCCGGCCCTGTTTGTAGGAGAGCAAAGAATGAACCCACTTTTATTTTCAGGATGCTCCCACTGAAGGTGGATGGTCAGATTCATCTAAGGCTTCCCACAGGAAGACGTGGGGCTCTCAGACGACTGGTGAGGCAGGGGTAGGTAGGGAAAGAAAGAGAAGAACAGAAGCCCCGGGGGGAACAGGGCAGGATTGAGGGCCTGGAGGTCTGTGTGTGGAGAACAGAACAGGATTGGGGGAGGCAGGAAGTGATGAGGAAGGAGGGAAGCTGTGGTCGGCAGGCGGATTTCAGAGTCTGGACAGCTCTAGGGTTCAGGTGGCCTCAGGAATGAACTCTAAAGCAGAATGGCAGGATGTGGAAGGAACCTTGCCCCTAAAAGTCTGGAGGGTTTGAGGTCCTTCCCCTGCTGGGGCCTTTACAAAACACGATTCCAGCCAAACAAAATAAGTTAGCAGGCTGGATCTAGCACATGGGCCCCAGCTTGCTACCCCTGACCTCTGCGAGTTCTGGTGCCTCCAGGATGCCCTTGGGGTGGGGAGAAGCCCAAGCCAGGGGCCAGTGCCTCGGCGAGGGGGGCAGGCGCTGCCTCGGAATCATCGTGGAGGTGACAGGGGTGCCGTCAGGAAGCAGACAGTGGCAGGGAATGGACTGGGCATCCCTAGACAAGGCCTGGTGGAGGAGGGAGAACAGGAACTTGGACATGGCAGTCCTGTCTCCCGGTGCCCAGGGGCCGGAACTGTGGCCAACTGGGCAGCCTCCTCTCCTGAGGGCTTGGAGGGAGGAAGAGGCAGGGAGCATCCTCTAGGGAGAGCCAGGGCTCTGCCCAGGTGAGGAGGGGGGAAGGGCGGGAGGCAGTAACTGTTAATCGCTGGAGAAGGGGCAGGCAGGAGTGAGGGAATGTCTAGGGCACAGCTGGGGAAAGGCTGGGAAGGCTCTGCCCCTGCTCCACCCCTTCCCCTGTTCAGGCCTCTCCCAGCACAACCAGACACATTCATTAGGTTGCCAGAAGATTCCTGAAGCCAGCTTTAAGTCTTGCCCTGGGGAGCCAGGAAGCAAGGTCCCCAGAGGCACACCAATAAGGAGCACTGCCTGCCCACAAGGAGCCCACAGCCTGGGAGCAGATGGAGACGTGTGGCTCCGAGTGCCTCCTGGAATCCAGGAGCTGTGTTGCTCCCTAAGGACAAATTAGGGGGACCCTGTCTCCGCTGTCAACGAACTCGCAGTCCAGTGGCGGAGACAGCCACAGTCTTGAAGGATGAATTGGATTTCCATAAGGCAGTACTGCTGGTGGGGGACTGAGGGCAAGGCATGGCCTTCAGGCACAGGGAGAAATTGAAGCACAAGTAAAAAGATAAAATCAAGGCATGGTATAAACCAGAACCTAGCGCTAGAAAGCCTGCGGCTCTTTCAGAAAGGGCAGCGGGTCCAGCAGTTTGACTTCCTTGAAGGGCAGAGGGCTGAGAGAAGGTAAGTTAGAATCAGATCCTGCAGGGGCGACTGGGTGGCTCAGTCGGCTAAGCATCTGCCTTCGGCTCAGGTCATGATCCCGGGGGGGTCCTGGGATCGAGCCCCACGTCCGGCTCCCTGCTCAGCAGAGAGCCTGCTTCTCCCTCTCCCTCTGCCTGCCACTCTGCCTACTTGTGCTCTCTATCTATCTGTCAAATAAATAAATAAAATCTTAAAAAAAAAAAAGAATCCGATCTTGCAGTGGTTTCTACTTTATTCCAGAGGCCAAGTGGAAGCTCTCATTCCACAAACACGGACTGACTACCTACGGTGGGCCGGGAGCACGCTAAGTAAGCACTGGGAATATGTGGTGAGCACATCGCCCTTGCTCTCATGAAGCTTGACGTTTAGCAAGGAGATAGAGAACAGTCAAATAATCACACAGATCATTAAAATTACAGAGCATGAGACATGACAGGAAGAAAAGGTATAGACACTGCAAAAAAGTGGAATGGGGGCTTAATTTCAATTGCAGGATCAGGAAGGGCCTCCGAAGGTTTTGAATAAGAGAGTGCTGTGGTCAGAGGTGCATGAGGAAAATGAATCAGGCACAGCGTGCATGACAGATTGGAATTATGGTAATGCTAAAAAGCTGTTACAGTGGTTGAGGCAAGAAGTGACAAAGACAGGAAATTAGTCTACGATGAAAAGGTAGCATTTCAATGGGGAGTTGTTGTTCAAGGAGAGTTTCACTTTTGCAAGATAAGAAAGTTCTAGAAATCTGTTGCCCAACAATGTGAATAACAACACTACTGAACTGTACACTTCAAAAATCATTAAGATGGTAAATTTTATGTCATGTGTGTTTTACCACAATTTTTTTAAAGATAACATTTCAAAATAGACAGGAAGTGGTGTACTATTCAATAAATGCTTTGGGACAACTGGATACGCTCCCTCACAATATACACCAAAATGAATTCCAGATAGACTGAAGATTTAAAAATTCAAAAATGAAACCATAAAAGTACTAGAAGAAAATATGAGGGGATTTAAAAAGAAAATATTGAAATCAGGAGGCTGTTCCAAGAATGACACAAAACCCAGAAGCTATGGAAGAGACTGACACATTCAACCACACTTTTAAAAAACTTTATGGCAAAAACTACTGTTAAAAAGGCAAAATCCAAAAAGATAAACAATAAGCTGAGGAAAATATCTGCCACTCACAGTGAATATGAAAACAACTCTCACACGTCAATACCTCAAACACCACCAGCCAATAAAAAATGAGCAAATAATGTAAAAAAAAAATCAAAAGGAAATATACAAAAAGAAATTAAAATGGCTTCAAAACTGATCAGAAGGTGCTCAAATGCATTCATACTAAAAGAAATGTATTTCAGGGTGGCTGGCCTTCGGCTCAGGTCATGATCTCAGGGTCCTGGGATTGACTCCCGCTTCAGGGCTCCTGGCTCACCGGGGGGTCTGCTTCTCCCTCTGCCCCTCCCCCCTGCTTTTGCATACTCTCTCTCTCTCTCAAACAAATAAATTTTAAAAATCTTTTTAAGGGCGCCTGGGTGGCTCAGTTGGTTAAGCGACTGCCTTCGGCTCAGGTCATGATCCTGGAGTCCCGGGATCGAGTC